TTATACTTGTCCATACAAAGTCTACGTTTATAGGCAATCCGCTCATAAGTGGCAAGCGCAATCAGGTCTTCAATCCATTCAATAAATGGGGGCATACATTTATCTTTCCAATGCTGCAGTATCAGTTTTCTGGCCATAGTAACGGTAGGGAGAATCCATTTACGTGGTCCAGATGTCAAATTCTATGTACTAGGTATATAGTTAAAAAGAATATTATCCTCTGAAAATTTTAGCTTTTGTTGCACAATCACATTTATATAATCCACTACTTTCTCCCAAAATTTAGTAAGTACAGGACACTGTAAAAACGTATACTTTAAAGAGGCATTGTCGTTAACAGTACAGTACAAAGATGCCAGACCAGACCAGTGTAACTCTCTTCCCCAAGGTAGTCAGGAATGGCAGAGATCTGACGTTTACGCGTCCAGTAAATTGGAATAATATTTGCGTTGTGATTTCAAAATCCCTCTGAGTCCACAAAAACTAGCAGGTCAGGAACAAGGTCTGCTATCAGGACAGCACCGTACTGCGCGAGTCGCTCTCCAGCCAGAAGCCATCTGGATTCGCTCCCCGCAATCCGCCTTGCCGGCGCTGGACACGCCCTGAGAGAAGGGCGACTCCCACGTGCTCTCTTGTGAACTATATTTCCCAACATGCTTCGCCGTCTACTGGTGATGATGCACTGGAGAGGAGGTACTGCGAAAGCTCCTTGCTGTGTTGTCAGCTCTTAGGAAGCGGAGGTTGAGCTGCGGGGGTCTTTCTCTCTCTCGAAGACCCCCTGCTCTTCCAGGCGACCTACATCAGAGGGAGACGAGGGAGGCCTCCCTGCCGTGTGCATCGGAGAGTGAGTAGCACGGTAGGGGAAGGGAGCGGGGGACTGGACCCGCCTGCTTCCAGCCAAAAGTAGGCAAAGGCACAACGCGGGGGGAGGGGTTGCGTGCTTGATAGTAAACAAAATCAGGGATGGGGAGGCGGACAAGGAAGCAAAATTTAAAATCTGAGTCCTAGGAGTAGACACGGCGGACACATATTGGTGGAAGAAAGTGCAAAGCAATTGGAACAAAAACACGCCTCGTTGCACTGGGTGAGAGGTGCATAGATTAAGAACAGTTGTGGGGTTTTCGGGAGAGGTGCGTGGGTGAACGTGCTTGAAGGACAGAGTAACGTGTGAATGCTCCGACTACCGCAAAAATTATATCTTGTTCAGAAAACCTGGTGGGGGGCTTACCTTAAGATAAGGAAGGAGGACAGCAGAATTTGACAAGTTGGCAATAAGAGTGCCTGCCGGTTTTCAAAGGGCTCAATTATGGGAGCCTGGTCTGCAGAGAAACCAAAGAGAGGCAAGATGAAATGCTGCGAGGTACACACATGCACGCACACTTTTTCTGTGTCAGAGCCCAGAACTAAATTTAGATCCTGAGAAATATGAGTCATTTTGCTTAAAATTCCAGTATTGCATTTTGGCCCTGAGTTTCAGTCTGTGCATGCCTGGAGAAGGGCCAGAAATGGACTGAATGAAGATTGCCGTTTAAGACTGAACTGATGGTCTCAAAAAACTGTGGGGGATTAGGACAGAAGAAGAATCTCTACAAGTGCTGGAATCGAAACAAAGTTTCATTATTTAGTTACAGCTGTAAAAAGGCAGATCACCAAATGTATTCTAGAGTATTTTGAGGAAAGGTTGGAGGGAAAAGTGTGCATCCATCTGGCATATAGAACTGAATATGTTCCAGACTTCCTTAGTTCACCAAATTTCTGGTGCCAGTATTAACAGAGTAAGATTTGCAAGCAAGAAGAACTTCAGGAGAATGAACAGGAGGTCCCCCAATACAGCATGCTGGCTTGTAATATTTTGAAATAATATTTTTATCATATTCAGAGCCCCCTGCTCACCCTCCAATATTATAAAGTCCAAAGTCTTAACATTACCTAATTGTACAGCAAGCAGTGCTCATGCCCTTTGACCACCTTTTCCAAATCTCTAATGCATTTGCTAAGGTTTCTAGCTCCAACCACCCAGCTCCATTATATTTGTCTGCCTCTCTGACTTGCCCTGCTAGATGGTTGAACCTAGTCTATTTTGGCTGGTCCCCAAAAAACTAGATCAGACCTGATTAGACTTGGATGGGAGACCAACAGGAAATGCCAGAGCTGTAGTTTAGACTGGGAAGTCCAAAAACTTCCCAGAAATAGGGAATAGAAAACAACTTCCATACTCTTGCTGAGAAAACTGCATGAATGTATCAAGCCATCAGAAGTTGAGCTTGATTCACAGGAGACTACTTTTAACATTTGGCTTCACATTTATTGAACTAAAGGATCTGAAAAGATGGTTTCAAACCAGAAGTTCTACCCTCCCTTAATTCATGACTTGCTGTGCCTGGTCAAGACTTCTCACAGTGTTAGATAAAATGCTCCAAAACAATTGGTACTTTGTTCTCCCCCCCTCCCCCCCGGTGGGTTTCGGTCTCCAAGAATGAATATAGATCAATAAAATCTGTAGCAGCCTTCCTCAGCTGGTGCTCTCCAGATGGCCTGAGACCATAACTGTAGTAGTCATCCAGGATGGGAATGATGGAATCTCTCCAACACGTCAAGAGATTGTCTTTTTGAGGAAGACTGATCTTTAATCTGGCACTGAAGAAATTAATAAAATAAGGTTTGGGAGGAGGAAGGAGAGAGTATCCAAAACAAGATAGAATTAGTCTACAGCACAATGTGGGAGGTGAAACTGGAGGCTTACCTAGCAGTTTATATGCCTGATCTTTAATTCAAAGATGTTGAACAATTAAAAAAAAAAAGGCTAAAGAGCTATATTAATGAAACTGCAGGGAAGCCTCAGTGCAGACTAATGACTGCTTAGTTTGAGTTTTGTTCAAAGCCAGGCAGAATAAAGATTGGCTATATATGGCAGAAAGGCTATTTTGGGAACTACAGTATGTGCTGGAGTTTAAAAAAAAGAAAAAGAGATTGGTCACAATAGTTCTCACCCTGCTGTGAGAATTGATGCCTAAATAGGAACCTCTTAAGAGAGTTTTCAAAACATCCTGCAAGCAGAGATGATGGGTGGATTTGGATAAAGAGACTCCCCACTCACCACCACCAGTGCTACTATGCAGTGTTACTTCTTTACTGAACTCATCCCAAAGGAATGAGGTGGTAGAGTTTGGAAACGGCAGAGAATTACTGTATCAGATTGCAGAGGAGGGTTGCCTTCTTAATGCTCTCTGTGCGGGGAAAGAGTAGAAAATAAAACCTTTGAGACTAACCAATTAGATCCTTTCTTCCAATGTGCTGTGCTAGATACTTCCTTGAGGAGAGGGGTGTTTTTCTGTGTGGAAAAGCATTCCAAAATCCCTGTGTGCAGCCAAAAGTGATAGTTTATTGCCTGAAATGTGTCCTACAACATCTTTTGTGGCACGGCCAGAATGTATAGATTGGGTGGGCAGTTGGGCAACACTGAAATGGCTAAAATGGCCATCATCTGTTTTTGCAGGTTGGGTTGGGTTGGTTTTGCCTGTGCCTGGGTAGTGACAGTCTAAGATGAGCTTAATAATAATAATAATAATAATAATAATAATAATAATAATATCATTCCCATGCTTGTCTTTTGGACAGCCTAGTTCCACTTGATGACTAGGAAAGTTATTCATTTTGGGGCACAAATTAAGCTGCCCAGAAGCGGAGCCTGACTTATTCCCAGCGTTTGGCAATTCCTCAGTTGCTCTCTCCTTACAAGTGTTATAGAAAGCCCAGTGTGGGTCCTGGATATTAGATATATGCCTTATATGCCTACCCAAAAATTCAACTTCCTTGGGGATGCCCTCTTGAAAGCACAGTACCACATTTAGCAGCCACTTGCTGCATGGCAGTCCAAGAGACGGATACTCTCAATTCAGGTGCCCTGCTTATAAAATTCCCCTTCTGAGCATTTGTAATTGCTGCCAGGATTTCTTAGTTTTTCATGCCAACTAAACAACGACCTTTTGGCTTTGGGCTGAACTCATATTGGGTAAGGCTGCTCTTTCTAATTAAAATTGCATTAAACAGCTGCATTAGGTCATGACAAAATATTCCACTCCAGCCAAGGCAGTTGAACTGGTCCTTCAAACAAAAACTAGGACTTAGAAATCAAAGCAGGGGATGGGGGTGGGGGAGGTCTTTCTTAAAAGCATTTGCTCAGCAAATAAAGAAGAACGTTAAGAATCGAAAGTTTCAGTTTCTGGCTGAAGTAAGCTCTTGGATATTCAGTCTTGATATTCTTGCCTTTTGTGGCACTTAGTTGGAACCCAACTAAGACAAATGCAGAGCTGAATGAAACCAAAATATTTAATATGGATGCAAGGAGACCAGGTAAACCAGAATTTTAAAGGAACTTTTAACCAGCGGCTTGTGCTTATACAGGTGAAACTCGAAAAATTAGAATATCGTGCAAATGTTCATTTATGTCAGTAAGGCAACTCAAAAGGTGAAACCAATATATGAGATAGACGCATTACATGCAAAGCGAGATATGTCAAGCCTTACTTTGGTATAATTGTGATGATTATGGCGTACAGCCAGTAAGGCAACTCAAAAGGTGAAACCAATATATGAGATAGACGCATTACATGCAAAGCGAGATATGTCAAGCCTTACTTTGGTATAATTGTGATGATTATGGCGTACAGCCAGTAAGGCAACTCAAAAGGTGAAACCAATATATGAGATAGACGCATTACATGCAAAGCGAGATATGTCAAGCCTTACTTTGGTATAATTGTGATGATTATGGCGTACAGCCAGTAAGGCAACTCAAAAGGTGAAACCAATATATGAGATAGACGCATTACATGCAAAGCGAGATATGTCAAGCCTTACTTTGGTATAATTGTGATGATTATGGCGTACAGCCAGTAAGGCAACTCAAAAGGTGAAACCAATATATGAGATAGACGCATTACATGCAAAGCGAGATATGTCAAGCCTTACTTTGGTATAATTGTGATGATTATGGCGTACAGCCAGTAAGGCAACTCAAAAGGTGAAACCAATATATGAGATAGACGCATTACATGCAAAGCGAGATATGTCAAGCCTTACTTTGGTATAATTGTGATGATTATGGCGTACAGCCAGTAAGGCAACTCAAAAGGTGAAACCAATATATGAGATAGACGCATTACATGCAAAGCGAGATATGTCAAGCCTTACTTTGGTATAATTGTGATGATTATGGCGTACAGCCAGTAAGGCAACTCAAAAGGTGAAACCAATATATGAGATAGACGCATTACATGCAAAGCGAGATATGTCAAGCCTTACTTTGGTATAATTGTGATGATTATGGCGTACAGCCAGTAAGGCAACTCAAAAGGTGAAACCAATATATGAGATAGACGCATTACATGCAAAGCGAGATATGTCAAGCCTTACTTTGGTATAATTGTGATGATTATGGCGTACAGCCAGTAAGGCAACTCAAAAGGTGAAACCAATATATGAGATAGACGCATTACATGCAAAGCGAGATATGTCAAGCCTTACTTTGGTATAATTGTGATGATTATGGCGTACAGCTTGCCTTACTGACATAAATGAACATTTGCACGATATTCTAATTTTTCGAGTTTCACCTGTATTATAGAGATTGTATTATTATATTATACAATCACTTGATTGGATCTGATTTCCAAGATGGCTCGAGATCTTCAGAAACAAAACTGATGTAGGGGTCACTCCAGATATAGCCTCAGTACCAGATCCAGAGTGCTTTATGGAAGGAGGGAGCTTCCTTTTAGGATAGCCCAGCAATGAGAAAAAGGGCTGTAGCTTTGTTTGCTTACATCAAAATAAGACAAAAAGTACAGGCCAGCTTGAGCTATATGAGAGGAGGAAATACAAGGCACTTCATAGGGTTGCCTCGTGCTCCTTTAAAATGTGGTTGGTTTCTTTTCTAATTACTATAATTTTGTAATTTGGAGACATAATGAGGCAACATTTGCATTGGTAATGGTCTTTTAGTGGAAAACTTCCAAACAAAATTTAAATAGATAGGAGCAGGTTTTTTCTGGCAAATCTACTCTCCCAATGCAGATTTATGTCTTGAGGCTTCTAGAACCATTCATTCATTCATTCATTCATTCATGCATTCATTCATTTATTTGGATTTCTCCCCTGCCCATCTCCCCCACAATAGGGGACTCTGGGCGACTTACAAAAAAC